AGTTTGTCCAACAGATTGCGGACAGTCCTCGACGCCGGCGATAGGTTTTTGAGGCAAATCGGGTGCCGATCCATAGGACAAGTGCCGTATCGCATGAGCCAATCCATGAGACATTTGTTGCAAAACAGGTGCTGACAATCCGTTACAATCGGCTCATAGACCACAGACTTACAGATACCGCACATTAACTCTTCGGTTATGATTGTCTCGAGTTGTTTGCAGTCGTGTTCACACATTTCATCCATTGTTTATAAGAATTGCTAAACTAATTAGTCAGTCATANGCTGACAATCCGTTACAATCGGCTCATAGACCACAGACTTACAGATACCGCACATTAACTCTTCGGTTATGATTGTCTCGAGTTGTTTGCAGTCGTGTTCACACATTTCATCCATTGTTTATAAGAATTGCTAAACTAATTAGTCAGTCATAAAGTGTCCACAAGTTATTCATATTTCATATTCAAAGTCTTTTGCGATAGAAATAAGTGAAAGTATTTTTCGCTTATCTATTGATAGCCTATTAGTGGACAATACTTTATCTACATTTAAATCACTGCTTATTTACTGTAAGAATATATTGACAATAAATCATTACATTTTTCACTCAATTTTTCAAACCCCTTATAACTGATAAATATTTTCTATTGATTTGAATAATTAGTTGAGAAATATATTCAATGATATATTGTATTTTAAAATCTGGGATTTCTGTTGAGAATTACAAATAAAATTTTTAGTTAATGACGATTAATGTACAACTTATTTGTAAACTTAATGAAATGTAATATTATATAAACCTAATTAAAATTACATAAATAAATATTTAATAAATAAATTAAGACACAGGAGGAAATATTAAAATTTCAGCAATCAGTTACAGTAAATCAAACTTTAAATTTTAATAATTATTTTATTAAAAATATAACTGATATCTGACTTGTGTTAAATTGACGAGTAATAAGATTGATACAATTTTTTTCTATATTTACAATATTTTGCTATTAAAATAAATTTACATCACATTACAGCATGAAATACTAAACGTGTGGGTCGTTTTAGACAATTTATATACCATTGAGACGATCGTAAATCTTATTACTTATTTATTGAGTCTCAAAGTATGTCTTATTAAAATGTGTTACAATCTTAATCACAATTCAATATAACAAGTGATTGAATGTGAAAGCAAATTCATAATGAGTTAAACAATTTGATTATTCATAATTATAAAACAATGTTTGAAATTAATATCAATTTACATTATGAATAATACATTAATAAAATTCTTGTGTAATGTGTAATCTATGTGTAAATACCATATTAAAAATTACAATCATTTATTCCAAATAATTTCAAGCATATAAACGATACAATTGCAAGTAATCTACATGTATGATATGAAATGTGATGTCTGTTTGATTGCATTAAAATCAAGTATACTATTCCAACTAAATGAACTATTCATCTACAACAGTAACATATAATAGGGAGGTGTGAGAGTAAAAAGTAGTTAAAACTATAGAGGGGATAGAAAACAAGAGAGAATGTGGTGACAGTTTTTGTGTACAGTTACTACAATAGTGCAATACATCGCTGCCATCTACCGAGCTGATTGTCCGCTAGTATTGATTATTGTAAACAATTTTCTAGTTTATTACTTAAATAATAAATTAGATGATAAATTAAAATTTCTAAAGTCACTGGTTTGTGGCTTATTTTATGCAATAATTTTTATACGATGTTTTTTACATAGTTTTATTTCATTTTAGATAACGTTGACTATCGTTACGTCTGTAAAAGATACGAATTTTAAGTCTTAAATTGTTTTGAATTGGATTTTCATTGAAAATCATATGAAATTTAAAAACTACTCAAACACTGGATTGTTTGTCACTATTTGTGTTGCAATTTACTGATAAATATTCGCTATTTATAACACACTATTCAACAAAGAAATGACTAAAAAAATGTAGAGAATTCAAGGTTTCTGTAATCACTTTAGGGAATAAATGTATAATAAAATATACCATAACATGGAATTAATTCACAGCCTATGGCTTGGATTTTGAACTGAACTATCAATTTAAAAATAAATGCTATTTTTGTTGTAATGTTTGTCTTAAAAAATGCTGTCATATTTAGAGAGTGTCTTCAAAATATGTGCTGATATTCTGTAAATATAATTGAAAAATAGATAATTTTGATTTCAATTACAAATAAAGTGTCCCACTGTTTGATGATTTAGAAATTTAAAAACAATAGTTAACGTAAATAAGTTATTTAAAATAACAACAACAAATTAATTGTATCATAATGGTTTCAATTAATTGAAATTTTAATATTTAAAGTTTATTTACAATTTTTATAGATATACAGATATACAGTACACTATTTTAAGTTATTAACATACAGTATTAAAATCATTAAATGTCATTGAAAATAAAGTAATTTTATTACAAATTACAAATATTAAAAATTTGTAAAAATGTCTTTTATAGTCCTATTATGAAATATAAACAATATTTAACTCGTTTGCATTTATTTGCATTTTAGTTCATTTGATTTTTATCTTAAAACCTTTTTACCAAACAAATTATTTTTAAGTTATAAAAAGTTTTTATCTTCATATTACACAATGTGTTGAAAAAATTATACGTTAATTTCATAATTTCATAACATTTAAAATAATTTTTATATATAAGAAATGGGTTTTCAAAAAAGCATTTATTTATTTTTATATTAACTATTATTAAACTTAATGTTTGTATTCAATTGATCCGTACATGAAATTTATGTCAACAATAAAACGGCATATTTTAAAAACTTCATAATAATCATAAAAATTTCATTACAAACACATGTATTAAAAGTAATAATAAATACAAAAAGTACTTTTATGTCGATTATATTTATTGTAAAAATTGAAGTATAATTGAAATTGAAATTAAGATAAATGTAAAATTTAAGCCTTTTTTGCAAGAATCAAAAGAAAAATAATAATGATTGAAAATAACCAAAAAAAAACACCACTTTGTTATTGCAATATTTGATGAGATGCCCCGTTAAAAGCCATTAAAATTAAGGTATTCAGAGTTGATCAAAATTATCAGAATAAGTAATAATAATTAATTTATTTCACTTTCCGATTGTTATTATTATTGACATAATTGTTATTATGTTGAGTGCCTTCGCGTCCGACAAAGTCCTCCATTACGTGATATCCGCCCAAAACTTCGTAAACCTTATAAAAGGCTTTGACGGGCAAAATGGTCTTCAATGTGTTGAGTGTATAGCAAATGCGAGGGACGGCCACATACTCGGCGTCGGTGAGTACGCCGGCCATGATCTGGTCGGCCACGTAGTCGGGCTCCAGTGCCGGCAGAATCGGCGACTTAAAGCCGGCAAACATTCCGGTGTTTATAAAATACGGCAAAACTACTGTCGATTTGACGCCCAATTTGTTGGCGTTAATCAACTCATACCTCAGCGACTCCTCGAAGCCGACGGCAGCGAACTTCGAGGCGCAGTAGTCTGTGAGCTGACACCCGCCAGTAGATCCGGCCACCGATGCGATCGACACGATGTGACCGCTGTTTGCGGCCATCATATCCGGCAACACAGCCTTCACTGTCCAGAAATGGCTGATTGCGTTCACTTGAAATGTCTGTATAATCTTCTCGTCCGGAATGTCCATCAGATTCTTGCCGCTAACGACACCCGCGTTGTTGACCAGTATATCGATGGCCGACACATCGCGCTTCACTTTGGCCGCCGTCTCGTAGACCAGATGTCTGTCCGTAATGTCGCAAACATATGAACCGACTTTGACCTCCGGATTGGCCGCTCTCACCAACTCTACCGTCTCATCCAAACCACTCTTATTGATGTCCCAAACGATTACATTAGCGCCCCGTTTGGCGAACCGTATGGCCAGAGCTCTGCCCAAACCGCTGCCGCCGCCCGTAATCAACACTAACTTGTCTTTCACTGATTTGAAGCGCAAACTTTTGGGCACAAAAAACAACAAAATACCGCAAATCCAGTAATAAAATATCATTAAAAAGGCAATGAAGTGATTGGACGACTTAGCCATCGTTTCGTCGGCTATACTATCTGTTTATAATTTCAATTTTACGGCTAAATCACTGTTTAATAAACTTTAATATAAGAAAAGTTTTGTTGATTTTCCACTTTTTGATCCTTTGTTTATAACACGAAAAGCGAGTGAAGAATCGATGGAAAAAGTCTGTGAATCTGGTTTTGTAATAAGAAGAGAGAAACAAATGAATGAATAAAAAGCGACACAAAGTTAGTGATAAATTATCACTGATAATGTTAATTAAGAACCTACGTGATCATATGCAAGTTTTAAGTCCAAATACCTTGTGATGAAATAGTGGTACTTTAATTTAATACTTATTTCGCTATACTTAAAAATACAAAATATTGTTAATATGAATTATATGCAAATGAATAATAAGTCTTTTAACACTCGTCGACCTAACTCCTCCTCCATCAAATTGAGAGGTGTGTTAAAAAATGATTAAGTCAAACTCAAATTCTAACGGTCGTATACTAAGAATTTTCTTACACTGAGACTGAGTTTAAACTCGAGTTAATCCTTTTGGAGACTGAGGTTGAGCTCAAACTCGAGTTTCTATATAAAAAAAAAGGTTTGAACTGGATCTCGAAAAGTTGAACCTCAACTTTGCGCATATCGATAGCGCAAACTCTATCGGGCATCTGTTTACATGAAAACAGGTTTTACATGTAAACAAACTATGTTTAAACATAAAACATATTTTAAAGTTCTTGTTGTGGAATTATCTTATAAAATTTACATTTTACAACAAAAAAGGCAAAAATATATTATTTAAATTTTAAAATATTCTTGTGACTACCAAGTGAAAATTTATTTAATTATTAAAATATTTATTAAGTAAATAGTGAAAATTAATAATAAATATGCATTAATAGCATACATTTAAATAATTATGTCTACGATATTGTTGATGTCTCTAAAGATCTGTTGGTCATTATCCATTGGGATATATCCGGCATTCTTCATGTCTTTACCATTTTTTAAAATTTGTTTACTGTTGTAAACACTACTGTGAGGCCAAATTTTAGGGATAAAGTTGATGTCACTCAGTCTTGAGATTTGCCTGAGTTTGAGCTCAACCTTAAGACCAAACATTGCTGAGTTTGATTTTTAAATAGAAGTCGAGCTCAAACTCAGTCTTAAAACTAAACCTCAATCTTAAGACTCATTTTAGTATAGCACTGTAAGTTTTGGAGTCGATGGTGATTTTTGACTCACCTTGGTAAATTTGACTTTTAATCAATCAAGATCTGTAAAATTATTAATCAGCCAATGCTCATCATTAATACAAAAATTAATTGTAATATGACTTTCAATTGGCCTGGAAGTTACTTCCAGCGGGAAATATTAGGCATTAATGACGTTATATTAATTGATTTATAAAATATTATATTGATATTTTGATTAAAAAATAATATTCATAAGTTATTAAGAAGAAAAATAATGATTTTGTTTTTAAATACATAAACATTGAATTTAGTAAATTTTACATTTATTTTATATGTTTTTATATTTATTGCAATATTTTTACACCATGTTATTTAGATAACTAGTCTTATCCAAATGCAATTTACTCAAACACCTTCATTTTCAAAAAATAAATATTATAATTATTGGTTATGGCATTTATTCAGATAAGCAAGGAATTTTTATTAATAATGCATTTTTGTCATTAAATATAATTAGAAATTTATGTTAATATTAATATTGTAAAATGTTAATTGCTTTCTAGAAATTAATAGTGTTTTTCAAATGAATTTATTTTAAATATACTGATTCATACATATCATGTGTTTTTGGTATTACATGATACTAATCAAAAGTATAAATACCAAATAATATTATGCAATTGGTCACTACTGAATAAAAATTTACATTAAGTTTTCGCCTTAACAGTAGGCCAGGTATTGGCCACTTATTGGCGCGATTACAGTATTATTTAGTCAAACAAATTGTGCCTGAGTTTTAAATCATTTAGATCAAACATGAACATTTATTATTGCATTTTAATTTATATGCATAAACAACATAATTCACACATTGAAATAACTTCTAATCACAGAACTATTAATTTACAAAATAATGTACACTATTTAAGCATCAATTTTAGCAGTTTGTAGACTATTAGGGCACACAATATGTGCAATTAGTATATGTTTGCACAAGGTATGAACGGTTGTGTTCTAGGGGGGGGGGTGAGTGGGTTAAGAGTTGGTAATAAATACATAAACATTTCACACCCAATGGGATAAAAAAA